ATTCTACGTCGGTTTTAGTCAACCGACGTAGAAAGCACTTTCCACGTCGGTTCTAGATGAACCGACGTTGAATGTGTTTTCACCCGAAAATTCTCTTAATTTCAAGAATTGTCATTGACAGGATTCGAACCCAGTATTTTAGAGTTGAAAGTTGATACTCCAACCACTAAACTACTGTAATTTTCTGATAATAACTTACAAATTAATTATATTTATATACAAATAAATATATATCCGTGTAAATATATATTTTCTCGGAAAGTGTTTTTATTTTTTTCAGCCAAAAATTTACTTAAGTTCGAGAATTGTCATCGACAGATTCGAACCCAGTATTTTAGAGTTAAAAGTTGATACTCCAACCACTAAACTACTATAATTTTACGATAATAACTTACAAATTAATTATATTTATATATAAATAAATATATATCCGTGTAAATATATATATTTTACGGAAAGTGTTTTTATTTTTTTCAGCCAAAAATTTACTTAAGTTAGAGAATTGTCACTAACAGGATTTTTTGAACCTAGTATTTTAGAGTTGAAAATTGATACTTCAACCACTAAACTACTATAATTTTTTTATAATAATTTACAAATAAATTATATTTATATACATATAAATATATATTCGTGTAAATATATAAATATAGAATATATAAATACAAATATATTTATATATTTTGATATATTTATATATATTTATATAGTTATATAGTTATATATTTATATGTTGGATGTGAAGGCGCGTTCGAGGGTGAAAGTGAGATTGACTCTCGCTTGAGTGAAAATACTTTAAAACTCACGGAAATTCACTCGTTCAAGCCTCGCTTGAGCGAAAATTTGTATTTTTCGCTTGAGCGAATGATGCGTTTCTCATATTTATTTTATATCATTAATAAATTATAAATATTATATTCTGTCATTAAATTACAAACCCATATAAAGAGACTCGCTCACAAATTTGACATCAAATTTTGAAAACTCATTCGACACACTTTCACCTTCGAGCGTGCCCTCACATCCAACATATAAATATATAATTATATAAATATATCAAAATATATAAATATATTTGTATTTATATATTTATATATTTATATATTTACACGGATATATATTTATTTGTATATAAATATAATTTATTTGTAAGTTATTATCAAAAAATTCGAGTAGTTTAGTGGTTGGAGTATCGACCTCCAACACTAAGGTACTGGGTTCGAATCCTGTCAATAACAAATAATTAATTTGGTAATGCTCTAAACTTTAAAAAAAGATGATAAATAATAAAAATATAATATAAAAGAGAGAGGGACCTAATAAAAATATAATATAAAAGAGAGGGGGATTTCTAGATAAATAGAGAGAGCGGAGAGAGGTTGGAAGTAAATAAAAATTTTCGATTTGAAAGTCAGGACTTTCAACGTCGGTTCTATTTAACCGACGTGGAAAGCCTAATTTGTAGTAGTGAATTTTGCTTTGTGCCAATTAGAACTCGTGCTTGAGAAAATGAGTTCAATGCTTTTGCCCCTCAAACTAAACTCGTTTATGGTTGTACAATTTTGGAGCAATCTTTAATTTTCCACGAGTTTATTGCATGTTATAACTTGGGAATCTTTAACAGTAGCCTAAAAATTTAGCTGATGTACTCTTAAATAATATTAGACATGAACAATAATACACTATTATAGTAATCGAAGGACTTCATGTTTTTTATTCAATCACAAAATTACAATTTCTATTGCATTCATACTAGTTGATTGAAATTAAATTTTTAAAGGTAGATTTAGTTGGTTTAATTGAAATTTTATTTAAAATTTCTATCAAAGTATATTTTTTATTCAGTTATGTTTTTAAATTAGATGAACATATTTCAATTTGGTAGTTCATCCATGACAATTGATAGATCTGTTATTCAAGATATTGTTGAAGATTTTAGTAATGAAAAAGAAAATATTTTTTCCATTGCTGCAACGTATCTGAATGATGATATCCTGCTAAATGCTAAATGCTGGACAGTTATCTAATTAATTAACCCATATAGGCAAAAACAACATCTTGGAATGAAAATATTTTTTGTCAAAACAAACAATAATAAGTGCAATATTTGACAACAGTAAGTGCAATAAAACAATTTCATATTAATGAGGGATACATGTATTCTGTTGTTGAGTCTCATGCTGACAGATATATTGCTCGTTGTATACATTATGATAATGAGTTTCAATAAAGAGTTCGTACTTCATTCAGTAAAATTCGTACTCAATGAGAGATAAAACAAATTGAAGCGCCACATACATGTTTGAGTATAATGTAAAATCCAAATCATCAAAACTTAGACTTTTCTGTCATTGCTAACATTATTTTTGAATTAGTTAGAACAAATCTTTTTGGGTCTACTAAAACTTTGATGGTAAAAGTTAAAGACAGACATGATTATACAATGACTTAAAGAAAAGCTTGGGTAATGAAATAAAAGGCGTTTGTCGTGACATTTGGAGACTGGGACGAGCCAGATAATGATCTTCCAAAGTGGTTGCAAGTTGTTGAAGATAATAATCTTGATACAATTGTTCAGTACATTTGTTCTCCTCATTTATTGCTAATGAAGAAGATCGTAAAAAAGATCTTAAGATGATTTGATAAAGTTAAAAGGAAGATTTTTTGTCTAAATTCAAGTGTGTGTTTGCATTAAATGTAAGTCTCACTTCAAGTTTAAACCTCTCTAATAAAGAAAAAGGAAAGAAGTGCCTCAAAATATTTTTAATCTCTTAAAAATCTGTTTAATATGTTAATATATGTCCTTTAGACATCTTTTTAATCATTTTTATTTTCATTTTAATCGATTAATTTTACTTAAACAGATTAAGAATTACATGATTCACATTTTTAATCAATTAATTTTCATTTTAATCTGTTAATTTCACTTATATAGATTAAGAACTACATGATTCACATTTTTAATCAATTCATTTTTTATTTAACCAATTAAATTCACTTTAATAGAGAAAAGATTGTAAGGTTAGAAGTTTTAATATGTTAAAATGTTCTTGACTTAACTTCTAAAAAATCGAGTTGTTTTAATCAATTAATACAATATTTTTATTAGTTAATTTATCTCTAGAAAAATTACAGAACTGTATAAATCGATTAAACCATATTTGTATAAGTTAAATCAACTTAAATATACTTTACTGAAAATTGTCTTTATTTATTTTAATCGATTAAATAGTGAATTAATCGATTAAAGGTAACAACTTTTCTCAAATCACATCTATATATAAACATATTTGTTACCTCAAATTAAAAACACTTTGTTAGAAATCAATCTAGTTATCATTTGTGATTTATTTTGAGAGAAAAGTGCACTTTATCTGTTCAAATCTTTGTGAAATTTTTACAAGAGGCATTTTTAGTTCTTTTGCATGAAGAGACTTGACTTGTGTTTGGATTTCTACATTAGTCTTATGTATTTCTTCAAATATATCTATGTGTCTTGTTTTTGTTTTTGTGTCAAGAAACCTTGGACACTTGGTTTGTGCAAGTGGAAGTGTAAGGTTGCTATTCCAAGAACTCGGTTATAGTTTTTGGTGTAGATAGAATTTCTACTAGTTTTATCTTGTAATCAAGAAACTTTGATTAGTGACACTCAACTGAAATTGGTTGAGAATTGGATATAGTATGGTAATTTGGGTGAACTAGTATAAAAATCTTGATGTTCTTGTCTTTTTTCTTTCTCATCTTATTGTGTTAAGTGTTTTTCTTTTAAATTTTTTTCAAATAAAGTTTAATTTCATTTAATTCTTTAGTTGATAATATGTAAAATTGTGAAAAGATTTCAAAATATCAATTTACCCCCTTTTGATCTTAGATTGTATTCTTAACAATTGCCACTAGAGTTAGGTTCTTGAAAATTACTCAAGTTTTCAAGATCAAAATTTTCAATGGCTGAAAATAGATTTCCTTTTTTGAAGGGGCTTCAAATTTTTGTCTTGATCCTAATATGTGTCGAGAGATATCGTGAAGATCTACAACTAATCAGATTTGAAATGAAATGGATGTAAAAATTGGAAATAAACAAAACAATGTTCCTTTTGTCCAAATGAATAATATAATCATGCAAATAATCCATTTCAAAAGTAAATTATTTTTAAAATAATGTAATATTTTAATATAAATGTACTCAATTAAATTTATTCATATTTTTTAAAATATTTTTATTTTATATTAAATTAAAATTATTTATTTTATAAATAATATATTTAAAAAAATAAAATAATCATATTTAAAAAAAAATTACAAAAACTCATTGGAGGTAGTGGGAGTTCAATACAAAAAATTAATATTGAACTCGTGCTACTTAGCACATTTTTTTTAAACCAACCAACTAAAATCATACTATATAACACGATTTTAGTTTTGACTGTCAAACACGTGCTTGAAAATACAATTTTTTTCATGCAAAAATCATCTTCTCAAACATGATTTAACTCATTTTTGTAAATTTTTAAATTTTTGTTCCTCGTAAGTAAAATCAGATTTTATTTTTACCCTGTTTAGTAAAAGGCCCAAATGAATCAACAACTTCAAATATCAACTTTGTTGTCGATATATGCAATTCATTGCTCGTTGATGAGATTTGAAGGAGAAAACAATGAAGTAACGAAGTAGGTTAATGTCCTTAGTTGTATAATATATTTCAAATAACAATGTTAATGAAAAACAAAATTAAAAACATTAATTAAAGAGACAAACACTTGTGAATACACAGTTCCATATATAGGCCAATAGCTTCAAATCCATTTCCTTTGAAGAGAATAACAACCTTACATGCAATTCAAATACACGTTACATAGAATTTGTTTGGATCCAGAGGTAGAATTGCTTTTGAGAATATTTGAAGAGTTTCTCCATTAAGAAAAACAAGTTCATCATAACCAATCCATCTTTCCCTTCATGATATGATATCCATTTGATCAGTTGATCAAATGCATTAATCTCTATTGAAATTGATCGAATTGATTCTCCTTGCGGCATTCATATGGGAGACCATGTGCATAACGTCTTAAATCACGGCAGTAATCATAGACGACCCATTTTGAAAGAACCCCTTGCATTTTCTTCTTGCTCTCTTGACCAAGAATACTGCTTTTTCCACCATTGAAACGCTTGCACCTTGCACCACCTTGATTTGCAACGCAAGCATTAGCATTGAAATTTTTGAAGCTTGCCACGAATGGAGCATTTGACAAATCCAGCTTCACTGCTCCCCATCTTGTTGCCCAAGAGTCTCCATTCCAAAGAGTTGTGTAAAGCCTCATGGGTCTGCTTGTTGGGAAAGCCACACCAATGCTTGCTCTATTCAACATAACTCTGATGGGAATGTCATCCACCAAGATTCTGAAATCACAACAAACATGCCAATCGCACATTTTCCTTTCTTAAGATAACATCAATTTCATGATAAATTAGTGTGTAATCATCCGTTTCCAACATGCAGTTGCATATATCTCTAACTACATATACATGTTCTGTTACTTACATAATGCGATTAGGGTTCCAATCAATGGAATAAGTATGGAAGTCCTCTGTTGGATCGAACCAAAGATAGTACTGCATCTCACGACCCCCTACACCATTAGCATATATATTGGTTGAGAGCAGATAAGGGTCACCAGTCAAGTTTCCCAAGAACTCAATATCTATCTCATCATGGTTTTCTCCTTGAGAGCTTAGCTGCACATTCGAAACATACATCAATAACTTTGAATAATCTACAAATAATTATAGAAGAACTAGTTAAGTACTTGTCACAACATGTAAAGTAAAATAAAAAAAACAATTATGATTTTGTACAATCATATATCATCAATAGTTAATATAAATTTTTTACATTAATTGTTTTAATTATGTATGATTGCATACATAATTTTATAGTCAAGATGTTTTCACACACATATATAAATATAAAGATAATAGATAGATATATAATCTTAAGTTCCTGCATGCAGAGTTTTTCCTGGAAAAAGTTCATAATAATGAATTTGGAGGAAGACGTACGTAAAAGGCTGTGACAGTTCCTGCAGAGTTTCCTGGTACAAGCTTGATTTGCATGTCGAATCGTCCAAACAGGTATTCGTTCTTGGACACTATGCCTGAGCCAGAATATTGATCCATGGTGAGGGTCATGCTTTGCCCTGCATCTTTTATGTCAACCCTTACATCTCCAAAGAGATTGTCAAAATCTTCGTAGAAATTCCCACCCAATGCAAGTGTCGTTATGGCCAAAAAGACAGAAACAAGAAGAGAAACGGAACCACAACGTGAAGAAGCCATTTTCAATGGTGTGAATGCGAGAACAATATAGAACGTGTATTTAAATCACTGTTTTATAAGAAACTAGGTTGCGTTAACTATGGAAAAATGGAGTTGCTTTATGTGTACGCGAACGTATCTGTCAAACACAGATTGTGATGACTATGGCCTTAACCCCGATGTGGTTGTCGTAATTGCAGTTACGAACTGCAATTCAAATGTTGAGTGGATAATATGGTTTTTTAAAGGGTGAGAGAGATGTGAGAAAAGTAGGAATTTATGTCAGCAATATGTTTTTAGATCTTTGGCTCTTAGAATTTGTGTTCCACAAAAAGTCAAAACTCGATAAAAATGGGTGATGGCTTAAGATAGAGATGCTAAACATGGAGTGAAATATAAACGTATGATGTGTAATAAAATATGTTCTTGCCTTTGCATGCATGGTTATCGTGACTTTTCCTGTTTTTAAGATGCTTTTTTTGTTCAAACAAAATCGACTAAATTTCCTAGGGTTATTTATTTTTCTGTTTTTCATGAGCCAAAGCTATTTCTCACCGGTCACCAAATACATATAAATATGAAACACGTAACATGTTGAAAAAAAATATATAAAATTAAGACTTAAACAATGTGTATAGTAGAAAATAATCTAACTACAAGAAAGACATTTATGACCTGATAGAATAAATTTGCTTTGCTTTGCATAATATATAAATTTAAATTGTTAGTCTTGTAATGAATCTACTTTATACAGACATGATTTCTATATTTTGATTTTCTATCAAATCAAATAACCATTCTTAATTAATTATTCAATCAAATGTTTTTTTTAAATGAATACTGAATAGGATGTTTCTACATTATTTGTGATAATGATACAAGAAAACCAAGAATTATCGAAGAAAAATTATCAATAAAAAATATTTTCAATTTTTGTTAGTAAATAAATTAAAAATATATTAAAAATATATAATAAATTAATCTATGTAATTTTAATGAAATGTATGATATAAAAAATTGATTAAAATATTATTATCTTATATTATCATTTGATATAATATATATTATAATTATTTATGTTAATTTTTTTTTCAATTAGGCTTTTGCTTAAGGTTTGTGAGCCCTTTTCTGCTGTATTTTATTTGTTTTGTTGTATAGAGCTTGAACTCAAAAAATAATGAAAGATATAAATAGTGTTATAAGAAGAAATCATATAACACCATTGCTAGAAGGTAGGGTGTCACATGGTTGGCTCACTACGGGTTAAGCTGAAAGTAGGTGAGCTCAATCCGGTTCACTTTTTGGCGAGCCAGAAATTTTGCAACCCGACTCAACCCACCACGGGTTGGTGGGTTAGGTGGGTTGGCTCACTAACGCATATTTTTTTAAATTATATAGAAACTTATGTTTTCTTTCTTTCTCAACATCAGTATCTTGGTTATTAATTGAAATTGGTTCATTGGGTTTTTCATTAATAATAAAATCATCACCAATAGAATTTACATTAACACTTTGATGTATTGTTTCAGATTCCATACTGTAAATTAATTTAAAAAAAAGAAGTCAAAATTTCATATATTAAAGAGATATACGTTATAAATCAATAACAAACAACAAATAATGTATAGATGCTACAATTTTCAAATAAAGATTCATCAATCCAATAGTTTAGGTTATGAAACAAATTCTTACCTTTGAAAGCAATACAGTGGACATGGTGTAGTGGTGCGGTGGATAGATAATAAGACAAGTGACCCAAGTGCAACGACAAACGTAGTGGTGCAGTGAACAGCTGATAACAAGTTTAAATGAGGGTTTGACTTGTGGCGACAACCAACAATGTAGGGTAGAGGTAACACAGGATAACATCAATTAGGGTTACTAAAATATTATAATTATTTTTAAAATTTAAAATAAATGATTAAATAGGGTTAGTATATTATTATAATTATTTTTAAAATTTAAAATTAATGGTGGGTTGCGGGCCAACCCACCATAACCCTGCTCGAACCCGTTTAACCCGTGGGTTAAATGAGTCAGGTTCATTTTTAGCCCATAATCGGTAGAAATAAAAAAAATCGAACTCAATCCGACTCGAACCCGTGGTGAGCCGGGTTAGCTCACGGGTTAGAGCCCATATTGAGACCTCTACTAGGTATCATAATATTATATAGTGGTAGCACTTGTTACTTTTATTTGGCAACCAACTAGTGTGTATGTGAGTAAAATAAGATAAATAAGAGAATCCACGCTTTTGAATAATAATAATAAAAAAAGTAAAGAGAGATTCACACGTATAATTGGAATAGGTAAAATTTCACCACTTTATATCATATCATCTTTCTATTGACTTGTTTACTTTCTCATTTATGTATAAATATCTAGCTATGCTTTATTTAGTGATAAATATGGAATAAACACTTATTTCATAAATATTTTTCCTATTTTCTAATATCTGAAAATTATATAATATATTGTTTCTTTAGAACTGTGCATATGCATGTTATTTAATAAATTGATGTTGTTTGTGATTTCTACATCATACACTTTTGATTACGAAAGAGATAAAATAAAAGGTGATAAGATGATAAGAACAACCTTAACAAGAACACAACTAAAAATAACAAAATAATCCCAATAAGAAAACAACACACAATAACAATAACATTTTCTGTTTCTCATTGCTTCTCAAATAATATTAACACTTTATATTTGAACTTTTATTTGTTAAAAAAAAAGCCTATTACCTACGGATACAAATCCGTAGGTAAATTTTACATTACCTACGGATATTACCCACGGATAAAAATCCGTAGGTAAATTTTACATTACCTACGGATATTACCCATGGATGAAAATCCGTAGGTAAATTGTACATTACCTACGGATATTACCTACGGAATTCTATCCGTAGGTAATTATCCATTACCTACGGATATTACCTACAGATATTACCCACGGATGAAAATCCGTAGGTAAATTGTACATTACCTACGGAATTCTATCCGTAGGTAATTATCCATCACCTACGGATATTATCTGTAGGTAATGTAATCCGTGGATAATTCCGTAGGTAATTACCTACGTAATTATTATCCGTAAGTAAAGTGTACATTACCTAAGGATATTACCTACGGAATTCTATCCGTGAGTAATTATCCATTACCTACGGATATTTTCCGTAGGTAATATCATCCGTGGTAATTCGTAGTAATTACCTACGAATTACTATCCGTAGGTAATTACCTACGAATTACTATCCGTAGATAAATTATATTAAACTAAAAAAATTGTCACTAGGAAGAATCGAACCCAGTACCTTAAAATTAAAAACTGATACTTCAACCACTAAACTATTAGGGTTTTCTAATAATAATTTACAACTAAATTATACTTATATTAATTCGTGTAAATATATAAATATATAAATATAAAATATAAAATATAAAATATAAAATATAAAATATAAAATATATAAATATATAAATATATAAATATATAAATATATAAATATATAAATATATAAATATATAAATATATAAATATATAAATATATAAATATATAAATATATAAATATATAAATATATAAATATATAAATATATAAATATATAAATATATAAATATATAAATATATAAATATATAAATATATAAATATATAAATATAAAATATAAAATATAAAATATAAAATATAAAATATATAAATATATAAATATATAAATATATAAATATATAAATATATAAATATATAAATATATAAATATATAAATATATAAATATATAAATATATAAATATATAAATATATAAATATATAAATATATAAATATCTAAATATCTAAATATATAAATATCTAAATATATAAATATCTAAATATATAAATATCTAAATATATAAATATACAAATATACAAATATACAAATATACAAATATACAAATATACAAATATACAAATATACAAATACATAAATACATAAATACATAAATACATAAATACATAAATACATAAATACATAAATACATAAATATTTAAATATTTAAATATATAAATATTTAAATATATAAATATTTAAATATATAAATATTTAAATATATAAATATTTAAATATATAAATATTTAAATATATAAATATTTAAATATATAAATATTTAAATATATAAATATTTAAATATATAAATATTTAAATATATAAATATTTAAATATATAAATATTTAAATATATAAATATTTAAATATATAAATATTTAAATATATAAATATTTAAATATATAAATATTTAAATATATAAATATTTAAATATATAAATATTTAAATATATAAATATTTAAATATATAAATATTTAAATATATAAATATTTAAATATATAAATATATAAATATATAAATACATAAATACATAAATATATAAATACATAAATATATAAATACATAAATATATAAATACATAAATATATAAATACATAAATACATAAATACATAAATATATAAATATATAAATATATAAATATATAAATATATAAATATATAAATACATAAATATATAAATACATAAATATATAAATATATAAATATATAAATATATAAATACAAATATATAAATGTATAAATATATAAATATATAAATATATAAATATATAAATATATCAAAATATAAATATATTTTATATTTATATATTTTATATTTATATATATATATATATTTTATATTTATATATATTTTATATTTACACGGACAAATATAAATATAATTTATTTGTAAATTATTTTCAAAATAACCTAATAGCTTAGTGGTTGGAGTATCGACCTCCAACTCGACGTACTGGGTTCGAATCCCGCTAATGACAATTCCCTTAATCTAATAATAATTCAAAGTTTCGAAAATATAATAAATAATAAAAATATAATATAAAGGGGAGGGGGTTCTAGGTAATAATAAAGTGACATTACCTACGATTTTGTCATTCCTACGATTTTACCCGTAGATAATAAGCATTTTTTTGTAGTTTGTTTACACTTTATA